TATTAAATCACAAACATCTCACATAGCATTAAGAGCAATATTTCAATCAATCTCACGTGGGATCATTCAAACAACGTACACACATGCATAAAAATCTTTTGTGAATACTCTATAAAATGAATAGTTGGATTTTAGAAAGAAACCAGTTTACCCGATACCCAATTCAAACCATATTTCCATTGGAATTTCATATTAAGTCAAGTAGGAGTACAATTTGTAACATGGTAAAATCCAAATTTGAAATCCCAAAAAACACGATCTTCGTTATCATCGTCAACTCACTCCCTTGTGGTTCTCCAAATTTCAACAACACCACCACCCTTTCTATCCATCGCACCCGGATTCATAACATCGATTCGCAGTATGAGCCTCATTACAAGTTATGTATAATGTGCGTTGGGCACTTTACACATTTGCGTTCTCCGTACAATTCTTAAGCCCTACCACGTGAGAACTTGGTTCAACCATCCTCCGCACGCTTGCAAAAATTAAAAATTGGCTTCAAGTCCTTCGTTCGGTTCAAAGTGACACTCAGTTATTTGACCGAATCTCTTTTGTTTTTTCCTCCCAGAAAACGAATCTCTCTTCAGTCATCGTCAATTCTACTCCTCTACCTAGCGGTCTGCTCCAAATTGCTGGAAGTAATATGTAACATTCAATTGGCCTTTAGGTCTTTCAATTTTCCTCTTCGGATTTTAGTTGGAATTCATATGCCAGGCTTTTATGGCGTTCTTGTTCATTGCGCTTTACACAATCCGTGACTTTTTTTTCTGTCTCAACCCTAATTTCCCATCTTATTGAAACGCCAATCAGATAACAATGAATTAGATATCGCACTGTTTTTCTCCCTGGCCCCTCACAGCATTCATCATCATCATCGATTCCCCTTATCATTGAATTCTGATTCATTGGCTTTCAAAACATCCAATTTTTTCCCGTTTGTTCTCTTTCTAAATTCAATTATGGTGTCAGATTCCTGAGCCATAAACTCTTCCCGTTTGTTCTCCTTCCCTCATTTATTTGACCGTGTAACTGTGTGGTTTGTAAATTGATTGTAGTGATTGTTTCTCCTTGCCTCTTCTTTCGGCTACAAGGGTTGAGTTCTTCATGATCGATTTCTTGATGGCTTTGTTCTGGGGGCATAAATTAACCCATTTTCTTTGAAAGTCGTTGATGAAAAACCCAGATCTATTTCTGTTTCATTTCTGGGTTCTCTCAATTTGGGACAATCCTCCGTTTCTCTTGCGTAATTTGGCCATTGATTCTAAAAAACGGCCATTTCAGCCGGATTGTATAAGCTTATTGCCGTCGAGCACTCGTAACCTCAATTCTAATTTGTTCCTTGGTATTTTTGTTTCATTTGTCTCCTTGTTCGACTTCTTTTGGCCGCCGATAATGCACTATGAGATTGGTGTTCACTTCCGTCTTCGATGGTAGGAGGGGATGGTATAAGTTTACTTCCACGTGTTTTCTGACGTGTCCAAACTGAATCCTAGGCTTATTGGGTCTAGGATTAGGTTACTTGGAGATTAAGTCACCGCCTAAACCTATTCCGCTAGAGTTTCAGGAAACAGGTAACACCACCTCTATATAAAGAGGCGGTGCCTCTCCCATAATTGATATCTTCTACCTATCTTCTACACCTTCTACACATGATACACACCCTTCTCTCTCTACTTTCTTTATTCCCTTATGGACTCAAGCATCGGAGAGTCTACCCTCGGGAGACACCTGAGGCTCTATCTTGCAGGTTTTAGGCCGTCCGCCGCCTCCTAGATCATCATCGCCGCTCGTCCTAAGGCACCGTGCAGATCCAAGCTTCGTCAAGTGGCACGCCTGGTGGGACCGATTTGTTTTGTCTTCACAACCAAATAAATTTCCTAGCGAAGCACGGAATCTTTTGTATCTTTGGTGGCCACGGTGTTAATTCGTTACTCCGATTTTACAACTAGAAAATCATGCAAAAAATTATCTTTGTTTGGCCAAGAAGACGTCAGTCGACAAGTAGCACAAAGAAGTTTTCGGTTGCACAAAGAATTCGAGGAGCCGCACTTGCTCCACAATTGAAAATTTTGCATATTAGCAAGTGGCAATTTCAAAGATTGGAGTTTCGAGAGATACATCTCCTTGAAGGAGCAACCATCCCTCAAGCACCATACTACTACTCATAGTGTTCGAGAAGATGTATCTCGACTTTTAGCTACTCAACTACTACCTTCTCGAAATCGAGGTAACTCTCGACTTTTAGCTACTCAACTACTACCTTCTCGAAATCGAGGTAACACTTTCTCGAATAATTAATTTATTACGAGATCGAGATACTTCTAAAACCTTTTCATGCTTTAATATCTGATATCATTATCATATTATTATCATATCACGATATATTTTTGAGCACGATTAAAGGAGTTCTTGATATTACCAACCCTCTCGCGGTAAAACCCTATCACCCTTTAACGAGGACAGCGTACTCTGGGACACAAACGGGGACATACCCTTGGGGTAAGGAATTTGAGGGATCATATGTCATTATTATCTTGTATTAAATCTCAATAATCTACATACTCGCGGTCCACCGTGCAAACAAGGATACTCGTGGTCCACCGTGCAAACAAGGATACTCGCGGTCCACCGCGCACTCGCGGTCAACAAGGATTCTCGCAGTCCACCGCGCAAACAAGGATACTCGCGGTCCACCGCGCAAACTAGGATTCCCGCGGTCCACCACGCAAACAAGGAACTCTCTAACAATAAAGACCTCATCGAGGCATCCTACTCTCTTTATCTTATATAGGTGACACCCGAGAAAGAAAGATTTCAAGAACTGGGGCAACACCACGAAACTCAAGAAGACATCAACACTCGTAGCAACTCATATTTTTCTCATCAAGTCTCGAGAATATGACTAGCTAGGGGCACTTGACGAGTCCAAACTGAACCCTAGGCCTATTGGGCATTAGGATTAGGCTACTTAGAGATTAAGCCACTGCTTAAACCTATTCCGCTAGGGTTTCACGAAACAAGTAACACCACCTTTATATAAAGAGGTGGTGCCTCTCCCATAATTGATATCTTCTACCTATCTTCTACATCTTCTACACACGATACACATCCTTCTCTCTCTACTCTCTTTATTCCCTTATTGACTTGAGAATCAGATATTCTACTCCCGGGAGACACCCGAGGCTCTGTCTTGCAGGTTTTAGACCGTTTGCCGCCGCCTAGATCATCATCGCCGCCCGTCCTAAGGCACCGTGCAGATCCAAGCTTCGTCATTTTCTATTTTATTTTTTCCTTTTGCATATTCTTTTATGTATTATCAATTCTGAGCTATTTTAGCATCCTTCTCATCTCCATCAATTTATCTGTTTGTCCACAGCAAACAAGATATGGGGCTGATATTACTGGAGTTCCTGGAAGTAGCCAAGTGGGTGTTCTACTTCTTCCGGTGGACTGAATCTCGGCTCAACGGTTTCCTTCCATAAATTTGAGGTTTAGAACTTAGAAGAATTTCTTAGCAGTTTTTTTTTCCTTACTTATGTATCGTATGGATTACCATGAAACATGTTTTCAACTGGGATCTTTTGTCTTTCTCTCTTTTAATGCGATTGGGTTTTTCCTTTTTATTTGGTTATGATATTGTATTACCAAAGGTTGCCCTTATATATAAATTGTACTTTTTGGGGGGTTTTTTCTACACAAAAATTAATGTAATTGATATAATAAGCAAGCTCGATTGGATTATTCTATTTAGAAAAGGGTTGGTAAACACAAAGATTCAAAGAGAAATGCCATTCTATTGGATCGTGTCTTCAATATGTGATTTTTTTAACCGTTTCCTTTGTTTCCATGTGAAAAGTAATTCGGAAAATTTACTTATTAGTAACTGAAAAAAAAATGAAGAACAAAATATGTTTAGGGTTTAAATTGTGGCCAAAAATAGTTTTCTCGCGCTTCAGAAACGCGAAAAAATCAAAATCCGCGTCTTGAAAACGCTAAAAACACAAAATCGCGTTTTAAAAACGCGAATTTATACTTTTCGCGTTTCTGAAACGCGAAAAAGAGGGAGAAAAAATTAATTTAACATAATCCTAATTAATTAACTTGAATCAATAAGATTTCGCGTTTTGAAAACGCGAAATCAATTAAAAAAACATTTTATTTAATAAAAAAAGAAATAGGCATAAAAATATGATTAATTTGACTAGTTTAAAACGTTATAGGGAAATTGACTTCAAAAAATTATTAAATTTGAATAATGGTAACAGAAAATTTTAAAATTATAACTGTTAATCATTAAATTTTGAATAGAGCTATAAAGAGGAAAATTATATTGATAATTTTAATAATACGAAAATTAAATTTTGAATAAGAATATAATATTATAATTGATACTCATTAAATAAAATAGAGCTATACTAAATATAAATTATTAAAAGTATGATATAGTTATTATAATGTATTAATTTTTAGAACATTATATAAAAAAATTAATAATGATTATATTAAAAATTTTTATTAAAAATGTAATCATTATTTTAAAAATAATTTTATATGAAAAATTTTCAATAATGATAATGACGTAATTTTATGGATTTAATGAGATGTAATTTAATTTACAAATTAATTTTATTAATTATGATGGTTTTAATATAAGAAAAAAGCTTAAAATAAGAATAAATTTTATTAAATATTTATTTTAATTTACCAACACTTAAGATGAAGCAACTATTAATTATGAAAGAAAATATAAGAAAGTTTAAATATGTGTTTCGATTTGATCGGCGAAGATGTGTTTTATAAATATTAATTATTGTATTTACGATGCAGGTGAAATCAAACTATTAAGAATATTAATACAAGTCATAACAAAATACTACAAGTCATAACAAAAGGTAAAAAAAAATAAAACAAGTCATAACAAAAGGAAAAAAAACAGAAATGAACAAAAGGAAAAAAAAAATACAAGTCTAATAATACTACATAAGAAGTCTAGTACCCTACTTCTTCTTGGGCTTTTTAGCCCGAAAAAGGCTATAAGTCAATCTATCGGGCTCCTTCGTCACTCTCTGGCCTTTACTCACAGCCAACGGTGGAGTCCCTAGAGTCTGACTCGATCCCTGCTCCTCATGGCGCTGATAACCCTGACCCTCAAACTGATCATCCTGGTCTGCATCCTCAGCCTCATCCTCATCCTCATCCTCAGCCTCATCCTCAGCCTCATCCTCACCCTGACTCTCACGCTCACCCTCAGCTGGGTTATCAGCCTGATGCTGACCCGCAACACCCTCGAACATACTCGAAAGAAAGTTACTCGTGTAATGTATCGACTGGCCATCTAGCGAACTCTGCTGAAACCCAGAAAAGTCAATAAAAGAATCTCCAAACTGACGCTGAGAAGTCTGAGGGGAGGAAAACTGAGTGAAGGAAAAATTGGACTGCTGGTGCTGGGGAGACATAATCGGACGGTAAAACGCCTGATGGGTCGGCGAAGAATGATGTGGAGACTGATGGGATGAATGATGTGGAGACTGATGGGCTGAATGCTGTCGAGAATGGAGTGGAGACTGATGTGGAGACTGATGGGATGAACCGCCAGTGAAGGGAATATGAGACTGCTCATGCTGGGAGGACTGATGTGGCTGAGATGTTGTGATTGTCTCTTGCCCCCCACGCCCACGCTGAGACCGGCGCGAACGCCTCGGAGGTCTGGGTGGTGGATGTTGCTGGGTCGGGTCTACAGGTGCAAGTTCTTGACTCAAAATGTCATGAACCTCAACATGCCTATCGAGATCGTGACGTACAACATTTGTTGCATTGACGGACAACGCCCGCTCAGCAACCTGGGCAATCTCGCCTAAGCGATCATAACCAAAGGAGTCCGCATCGAAAGTACGCTGGCCTATAATACTCAGACTACGAACGTCCTCCATCAATGTGGCCTGAAATTTTTATTAGAAAGAATCATAAATCGACAACAGTGTTAATAAAAAGAACCAAATGGATCGTGGCGAAATACTCACCATGAGGCGCAAGGTCTCGCAGAACCGTGAAAACCCTCGCATTTTCGAGTTCGTCGGATCCGTAACATACTTCACAGAACTCGATGGTACCACAAGAGATACTCCGGATCTGCGGAAGGCTCGCCAACATAAAGATCATCGGTCCCCACAACTTGGCCGTGGCGATCATTCCAAACACGGAGATATATCCCTAGTTGTTGTAACCATCTCCTATCGGATCCTCCAAACGGCTTCCTCTTGAGCGAGGCTAGTAATTTCCGCTGCGGTGAGAAGTAATGCGTCGCGGGTATCCGCCGGTGATAACCAAATTGGCGAAATACCCTACTGGGGTTGTGTGGCGCAACGACATCACCGCAGATGAGCCATGTCCGAGATCGCCATATGCCTGTCCCACAAGACAAACCCGTGCAATACGACCCAAAAGAGTCGTGTACGGCATCCAGACAAACTGCAATGGTAATTAAGTAAGAGACGTGTAATTAAAAGTTCGACACCGTTAAAAAAAACGAATAAAACATAAGTTATACTAATTGAATAGAATACTAACATCGACTCTGCGAGAAGCGCAAGTGATCCCGTGCGCGGCCAAATTGAACCGCGTGATACCTTGAACTTTTTTCTCGCGGGACCACCTGCACGGAGAAAGTAACATTAAATTGAGACATGACAGTACAAATCAAAATGTCAAAATTTACGAAGGTTTGATGTATAAGATTACCTCGTGCCCAATGGACAATCAGATAGATCGAGATCCCTACCCAGTATCTTGGGCTGAACCGTCAAAATCCGCTCCCGGGCCCGAGCTAATTCGAATGAAGAAATCATTAGCTAAAATCACCAATAATAATGGAAGAATATAAAATGAAACTAGAGAGAAATGAAAAGATAAAATACGAAGAAGAATCACACAAATGTAATAGCTTTGGCGAAGCGGCGAGATGACTGGACATGCTGCAAGACAAGTAACATAGTGCCGCACTACCCCAATCGTACTCGAGCAAATCTCGGGAGTATGAAGAAAATACACAAGATCGAGAGGAAAACTGTTTCTCGTAGTGTTTGAGAACAGTAATCCGCCAACGAGCCATCCAACGAAACAACGGGCTCACTGTAGGTGTGCATCGTCAGGGGACAGGTCCGTCAAAGGATTATTCTCTATGTGAGTCTTTATTTCGGTGATGGAAACACTCGTCAATCTAGACTCCTGTGTCTGGAACCTAAATCCAAACATCCTCTCCAAATAGGCTGCCCAACCACCATCAGGCGTGGTGTGATGTCCTGTAACTGGACGTCCATCAACCCGAAGGCCCAAAAGAACCTCGACGTCCTGGAGTGTGATAGTAGCCTCCCCAAAAGGTAAATGAAATGTATGGGTCTCTGGGTGCCATCGCTCCACAAGAGGCATAAGCGGGGCATGGTCACATCGATGGACCCAACTCTGAGAACGGTCCAAAACCAAATTTCTCAATATATTCCTTTGTCAACCTCGGTGCATCTTTTATTAATTTCCACGCGGCGCTATCTACGCGCTGGCTCCAAATCCCTATATCATACTGTGCACCATGGAATATATTGTGTGACCTATGGGCGTTTTGGAGAAACAACAAACTACTGTCTCTGGGTCCCTGCCGTAGCTTCTTTGAGGTAGATTGGGAGGAAGAAGATGATCCAATGTCCATGGCTAGTACAATTTACAAATAGTTTTAGTAAGTACGGATTAATATTATTATTCTTTTTTATTCTAATCTAATTATTATTTTATTAAATATTTTAACCCTACATTTTAGTAAATACAGATTAATATTATTATTCTAATCTAATTATCCTATACATTCAAAATTCCAAACCTACATTTTAGTAAATACGGATTAATATTATTATTCTAATCTAATTATTCTTTTATTAAATATTTTAACCCTACATTTTAGTAAATACAGATTAATATTATTATTCTAATCTAATTATCCTATACATTCAAAATTCCAAACCTACATTTTAGTAAATACGGATTAATATTATTATTCTAATCTAATTATTATTTTATTAAATATTTTAACCCTACATTTTAGTAAATACAGATTAATATTATTATTCTAATCTAATTATCCTATACATTCAAAATTCTAAACCTACATTTTAGTAAATACGGATTAATATTATTATTCTAATCTAATTATTCTTTTATTAAATATTTTAACCCTACATTTTAGTAAATACAGATTAATATTATTATTCTAATCTAATTATCCTATACATTCAAAATTCTAAACCTACATTTTAGTAAATACGGATTAATATTATTATTCTAATCTAATTATTCTTTTATTAAATATTTTAACCCTACATTTTAGTAAATACAGATTAATATTATTATTCTAATCTAATTATCCTATACATTCAAAATTCCAACCCTACATTTTATTATCCAAAACCCATATTCTAAACCCAACCCAATCCCCAACCCAAAACCCACATTCTAAACCCAACCCAAAATTCATATTTTAAACCCAACCCAATCTCCAACCCAAAAAACCAACATTTTAAACCCAACCCAATCCCCCAAACCCTAAACCCACATTCTAAACCCAACCCAATCCCCCAAACCCTAAACTCCCTAAGCCCAACACCCCACAAACCCTAAGCCCAACCATAAACCCTAAACCTACCCCCCTCTCTACACCCCTGCATTCCCCCGCCGCCCCCCCCTCCCCTTCATTCCGCCGCCGCCCCCCCACGCCCCACCCTCCCTTTCATTCCCCCGCCGCCCCCCCACCCTCCCCGCATTCCGCCGCCCCCTCCCCTTCATTCCGCCGCCGCCCCACCCTCCCCTGCATTCCGCCGCCCCCACCCTCCCCTTCATTCCGCCGCCCCCACCCTCCCCTTCATTCCGCCGTGCCCCCCCACCCTCCCCTTCATTCCGCCGCCCCCTCCCATTCATTCCCGAATTTTTTCACCCAACCCAAACCCGAATTTTTTTAAAAAATTCCACAATTACAACACCTATAATACTAGATCTATTAACGGTTCATTAAATCGGGAAATAAAATTACAAATAAAACGAACACAAAATTTATAGGAATCGAAAATTAAAACATGAATTAAAAAGAAACGATTAAATCAGAGCAAAAAACACAACTTACCTCGATATATAGCCTACAAAATGCAAAAAAATTGATGCCGAAACAATTCCGGCAACTCTCCCAGAAAAACCGCCGGTTTCAATGGATTACGCCGGATATATGGTTCTGTTTGAGAAACATCAACCCGAAACGTGAAAATTTAATTTAAGCACCCATTTTCGCGTTTCAAAAACGCGAAAACAACCAATCTTTAAGTAAAATCGCGTTTCAGAAACGCGAAAATAATGCCCTCCCTATTTTCGCGTTTCTGAAACGCGAGAAAAATACTCCCCCTTGTTTCGCGTTTCACAAACGCGAGAATAATACTCCCCCAATTTAAAATTTTAGTCGTTTATTCTTTAAGCCGGATATATGGTTATATTAATTTCGGTGATGACAAATAACTAATTTTCTTACCTTTATTGTTTATCAAATAACTAGTGCTTTATTCGACATGTATATATCCTATAGTAATAATTAATAATATTACTAAAATGAACTGCGACGTTTCGGTTTTACAAAAACATTACTAATATAAATTACAGAAACATCCAAACCAACATACTAAAACAAATACAAACGCAAACTGAATCATCCTCTGAGCTTTACTACATGAATGTTCAAAACAATACAAAAATACGAATACTAACAGAATAATCACTACGCTTCATCATCATCATCATCAGAATTGATATTAGGCACACCATGAATTCCATATGGATCATACAGTTTATCAATACCGGTCCTGTCAGCAGGTGGATGAGAAAAAGGGCATTCGACAGCATCATGATCTAAACTTCCACATCGTGCGCAAACTCTCGTATATGGGCAAGCCCTGGCATTATGGCCTTGTAGCTTACATAAACTGCAAGTTTGGAGTCTTCGCGCCAGATTTGCTTGTATAATCCATCACACCTTTTTCCGATTCACACGCTTCCGACCTCGGCCAGCATGGTGGACAAGTTTAGTGTCATCGGCACGATCCGCCACGTTGCCTTTGGCCATGGTTCCATGATTGGGTTGAATTCTCCAGAAAACTGTTGGTACCATTGATGCGTAGTGTAACATGGATCAAAAAGTGGGAAGGGATCGTCACCTAGCTCACGGGCAACTCGAAGTGCATGGGAACAAGGAAATCTGAAAGTCTGCCACCTTCCGCAAGTGCACTCTCGATTTGCATACAGCACAACTTGCTTCTCGTCAGCCTTCCATGGTTGATTATCAGGTGCTATTGTAACCACTTCGTACTTCTGGTTTCTCTTGCTAAACCGGTTGACCTTTTGCCTCAACGATTTCTTCCGGGCCTCTTCACACAGTTTCATTGGAGTAGGAGGTAGAACAGTCTGACATTTTTGGATCATATCAATGTTTGCCTGAAACAGATTGTTGCTTTTCTGAAAGGATGCTAGGATCAATGCTGTGATCGGGAAGAATCTAGCACCTTTCAGCACATTATTGAAACTCTCTGAGATGTTAGTGGTCATTTCTCCCCAACGATGCCCTCCATCGTGTAAACAGTCCATTTCTCAACACCCGGACTCGAAGCCAACGAGCAGCGAGGCTCATTTTTCTTCTAATTTTTGCCACTCGCCAAGAACCTTGTCTTTTGCGTCATTGAACCAATCATTTGACAGTTGCCTCGCAGTTTCTCCTTTCGAAAATGCCCAACCAAGTTTGCTTTAACATGCTCTAGACAACAACGGTGGACGCCCATCTCTGGGAATTTTGCAACATGATGTCCATGGCGTAAGGATACCCCGATTTCGATCGGAGATAATACAGTCTTCCTATCCTGTAGAACAAACTTTTCAAATACTTCAAAACCATTTCCAGTGTGTATAGTCTCTTCGTCCACAAGAGCAAATGCGATGGGAACAATCGTGCCATTTGCGCACTTTACGCATGCCACAATTAGTTTTCCTTTGTAGGATCCTCGCAGTGAGTGGCATCGATGGTTATTACGGCCAACAAGCATGAAATAAGCGTATAGATGGCCCAAATGCCCGAAAAACATACCTACATACAAACCTTTGTGAGCTTCCTGAATTTTCCTTAAACTTGAATTGCACACAAGTGTCCGGGTTTGACATGAACAATGCATTGAGGAAGCTGGGCAATTGTTGAAAATTACTTTCCCATGTACCATACAGAGCCTCAAGTGCTTTTCTTCTACCATGGCATGCCTTCTTGTAGCTACATTCGACTTGGTACCTCTTCATCACTTCTATTTGAATTTGGGCAACTGCAAAATCTGGATGTTTTCGCACATTTTGGGCAACCAGTCTAGCAATCATAGAAGACGTGACATTTCGGGACTCGTTTCTCTTGTTTGCCCCATGACAGTTGTGGGAATCGGACCATACCACCATTTTCCAAGTATCGGTGGCCTTCTGTAGCGAAACTCGCGCCTTCCACAGACAATCATAGCCGTGAAGGCGCTCTTTCGGATATTTAGGTCCACACGTCTCGCATTCGACATACCATGTTCATTTAGAGCTCGTTTTCACCGGAAAGTCCGACCATGTACCAAGTTCCATTCTCCCATGCCGCTTGTGCCTCGGGCTTGTTGGCGAAATGTATATCAAGGCCTAGCGTCAACGGATTGCCATCCCACATTTTAATTCCATCGTTTTCTACTTCCTCTAAAGTCTTGTCCCATCCACTTATGTCGTCGAAAACATATGGGACTGAAGAAGATGACTCAAA